GGACAAGAAGTTGTCTAATCCTTGATGAAACATTTAGAGACAAGAAACTATCTCGTCTTAGATGCACTTTTAGAGACGAGCAACATTTTTGGTCTCTAACTGAGCATCAGTGCTTCTGGATCTTCATTTCACAAAAATAATATAAATTTTATCAATAAATAAAATATTTCTACGGTAAATCTCCATACAAAAGGTTGATATAAATATAAAAATAGTTAAACAATATCCCATGGTGTTTCACTATTTGTTTAACAAAAAAAAGCTTAGTAAATTAACAATATCCCGAGCTAGACTATGATTTCAAGTTTTGCATAACTTTCCTAGAAAAATAATAATGGTCTTGTGCATCTTCTAAATTTGCATCTTGACTTGTAGCTTCAATCTTCACAAAAGTACACCGAAATTCACCAAGGGTTATCCAAAAATATTAACAAGCTGCAAGAACATAGGAAAAATTCAATAAGAAAACTCTGATAGTGTATCCCAAGTCTAAAATGTCTACAGATTGCATTCATAATAAATGGATTAAATCCCAAAGAACTGTAGACTGCATGAAATTCCAGAAAATTACACTATGTAAAGTTCTGCAGAAAATAAAAGAAGTTAAATCCCATGCCTAAATTCACTGTAGGCTACATTCACTATGTCTACAGATTGCATTCATAATAAATGGATTAAATCCAGAGAACTGTAGCATGAAAATTCCAGAAAACTGTAGGCTACTTTCACTATGTAAAGTTCTGCAAAAAATAAAAGAATTTCGTACAGTTGTACAAAACTAAAAAAACAGAGGAAAAAGATGTGTGTATGCTATTGTATTGTATAAAATGGAAACAACACAGATAAAGAAGGCAATAATCTTTTAAACAACTCTAATGCCGGCGAAGATGCTGCCTCCACCCCGTCGTTCCCCTTATTTGTTCCTTACGTATTTTCTGATAGCAAAGACATGTTCAATCCTTATTCATTCGTAAGATGTAAAACAGACACACTATTGTTCTCATGTAGATATCTCAGAACCAAGCAACTCGCACTTTCATGGATTACGAGTCAATAAGTCAAGCAACGGATAGAATTTGGGATTTGATGAGAGGAATCTCAAGGATTGAATCCAGCCATCAGAGAAATAACTTACAGCATCTCAGATCTTTACAATTTCATAGATGGCCTTGCTGATATGAGTGCATTAGTGTATGATCACTCAATCCAGGCTTACCTCTCCTATGAACGACAGTGGATAACTGGAATCACAGAGATAATATATCTTAAACGGTAGTTTCTATATACCATTTTCACTTAATTTCCTAATAGCTTTTATGAAGAAAAGAGTTGTGGATTGGAAGATATCTGTCAAGAGTAAAAATCAATGTATAATACACTTCTTTTCCCTCAAATCCAAATCCTATCTGCAGAGCTATAAGTGCGAAACCGACTGCTGTCGGAACTGAACCTATATTGGCTTTGCAACTCAAATCATGGATGTATAACTATGCATAGTTAGTTTTGTAAATTGAGCACTTTAAACTTGCTAATGATTTTATCTCACAACTACTTGTAGTGGATGTACAAGTTCATCTTTCCCTGTTTTATCAACCAAATGACCATCTTTACTAGAATCTCCTAAACGAAACTGGTCATCATTCTACTGAAACATCAAATTTTCCACTACACAGGGAGATGTTTTAGTACTCTGTTCATCACAAATGCTCAAAAAGCAATACAGTTTTCCATTATCAATCCAACAAACAAGAAAATTCCTGATATGTATCATGAATCATAACACAAATATGTCAAACAACCACCATCTAAGAGAAGAGAATCACCAAGCGAAGTACCTCACAAGTGAAGAATTCCTTTAAACATGATCAATAATCTTATTCTTGTAAGCATGACAATAATCTAATCTAAGCTACACAAATTATCAATCCATGAGGCAGATCAATAATAATAGAAAAGCTGATGGAAAACATGTCAATTATCAATCTATCGTCTTCCAGTTTCAAAAAGGATAATGGATATGTTATTTGTTCATTTCTCTCTTCATTAGTTTCGTAAGAGTTCAGCCATACACTAACTACTTAAACAACTATCTGCAAATAGAGTTTGGTATATTGTTACTTACTTGATAAGCAAAAGAAGTCATTGGTCATTCAATTGATATGGGTGATGTCATATGAGGGTTATGCGATTGTTGAGCAGTAATGAATTCTTTCATTTTTCTTATTTCTTTCATCTCATCTTCTAAGGTAGACAAGTTTGAGTTCCACAACACTTTTCTACAATCTCTATGCTAGGTAGATATGGCTCAGCTTTTAGTATTTCTTTGATTTGAGCCTGCAAAATATATACAAGTACATTTCAACAGATCCCTTAATAATTTGAAGTAATTTACATATTGAATTTACCAAACGCACATGTTTTTCAATTGCTTCTGGTTCAACAAGCATGTTATCTTTCTTACGAGTCTCAAAGAAAATATTTGCCAAATTTGGCGGATTGCCATCTTTTCCTCCCTTTACATCAAAGAGAAACATGTCAAAGAGCACTTCTTAAATATTTTCTTTAGGAAAGTAATTTTTCGATAATACCTGCTGATAAATAATCTCTCTAATAGGCTTGCTACCAATATGATGATACATCTTTAACTTAGCTCGATTTTCTGCATTTCTATTGCTCCTCGCCTGTATTGTTATGTAAAACTTTAATATCTAAGAAAACTTACCAAGTTAAAAAAGAAGTTTAACATCTAAATATCACGTTGAGTTGCAAAATGGAT